GCTGATGCTTTCCACCTAACTGACAGGCTTTTCAAAGTGTTACAGTATAGGGACCTGTCCTGTTTAAAAAGGGGATACACAGTTCAAAAATGATGTCATAGTCATGATCAAAAAAGTTATTATTTTAAACACACATAAAAAACTGTTTAGAAATGAAGTATATTAAGACATTAAATAGTTGTAAGGAGCATATTTACTTTAACAACAAGGTATAACATATTTTATATATTAAAATATATATATATGAAAAGGTATGGCCACTTTAAGGGTGGACAAAGCTTGCATCTGTTGTTAGGCATGGCCATGACTAAAAGAGACAAATTAAAAGGGGCTGATGCATAGGAGCTCTATGAGGAAGTGGAGGAGGCTACTCTGGGTGAAAAACAAGGACTGGAGGAGCCAAAACTAAACACCACAAGGTGTATCAAAATAGCGCCACGGCCTGCATCACATGACCAGTGCGATTGCAGCGATAGAGTCAAAACTGTAGCGAAGGGGCTGCAATATTCTTTAGCAAGGTAAGGAGAAGAGGGTGATGTAGGAAAATACAAAATGAGGGTTAAAAAGTTAATGAAAATGCCTGAGCTCCACCAAAGTCATGTTGGAGTCCAGGGAAAGGGGATGGAATAGGAATACTGCACTCTTGAGATATATGTAAAAGGAGCTAGTATGGGAAATGTAATGGGTGAGAAAGTTACAATAAAAGTAAAGAATAAAACAAGGTGAAAAATATATATGTAAAAAAAAAATCACATTTAGACCATGCAGTGCAGCATTTACATTCATAGAAGCCTTTCTTTTTCCAAAAAGGAAATATCCTAGTGGTAATTTTTTTGTATAGTTTGTAGTAAGGCATCGTCTAAAATTAGTTGCTTCTAATATGGGGTTTGTCTGATAAAATGTTTTTTAATGGAATTTTTATTCACATTTTAAAAACATAGGGTACCAACTATACACAGTTGTATTGGATGTATTGTATTGGATGGTGGGTTACAAAAAAAAAACTTTCACAGCACAAACACAGCACTAACCAACCAGCCTAGTTTCATGTTTTTTTAGTTGTTGTAGGGGATCCGTGTGAGCTTTGGTGACCTTTATTCAAAAAACAATTGCCATTATTTAGTAAAAAAGCAGCATACATCTTAATTTTTATAGCACAAAACAGCACAAATGCAGCACTAATGAAACCCATCAAATTTTTAATTTGTGCCGATTGTAGTGGGGGTACCTTCACTTGAGAATTGTAATTATTATAGGGAGACTTTCTGCGTTAGAACTATATTAAAATATATGCAAAGATTGGACACCATCAACCTCTTCCACCCATAAAGCAGCGTATATTAAAATACAAAAGTCATCACCCAGACAATTTCATGAGCAACTGGGTGCATAAAGTGAAACATGTAATAGCAAATTACTTACACAACTCTTCTGTAACTTCTAACAGGAAAATGTGTTAAAAAAGCCAAACACTTTTAATGCATCAATCATAAAGTAATATATTATAAACATGCAAAAGGGCAACAGAGTTATACTCCGTGCTCTACTGTAAGTGAACATTTAAACTCCTGCCTCAAAAGGAGAAAGTTCCACCAATTGGTAGCCTCTCATTCTGGTTTATGGGGATCTGTTCTTATCCCATAAATCCATACCAGCTCATATTTATAGAAATACTAGTTTATCCTCACAGTTAGTGTTCTGGACCTGCTCAGTAAACTGGTAGAAGCCATACTATAGCTGTTTTTTTTTAACCATGTTTCTAAATGGCCAGAAGAAAGATTATTAATGGCTGGCTGCACATTTATAGGGTTTCCTTGTATTATTCATTATTTCATAATTTTTTTCTTTCTTATTCTTTATCACGATTTTTCAAGTTTTCATTTACAAATAATAATCATATTAATTACATTTCTGAATTCAAATTGCATGTATATGAGTTATAAAACTACAATATTAAATATCAGAAGCAATTATTATATATAATTCAACCATGGGTGTACAAAAATATAAAACAATCATTCATACCACTCACCCATACTCACATGAGAAAAAAATAAAGGGGGGGGGAGAAAAAGAAGGAACAATTAGGCCATTGAGGGGGAGAGGATCTATAAGTGTCTCATATTCAATTAAGTAAAAAGTCAATAGCCATATTGAGATCAAAAAAGATTACTTGTTAGTGTTTAAGTAATTGAGATGTCCGTTAATAAACTAAACATTCAGTATGAGGGTCAACTTTAGGTGATCTAATTATTTCTTCCAGGGATATCACAATTCTTCAGATTTTATCTACTGAATCTCTCTCAATATAACAGCCTCGTTCCATTTTGAATTGTTACGTAATTTGATTGCATATATTTGACCAATTTATAAAAGGTGATTTCCAATCACGTGCTATCACCAATCTTGTTGCAAAAAGTATGTGCATTATCAAATAATCATATTATTTTTTAAAATTGTCTTCATTTAAAATTCCCCAATGTTTCTTAATATTTTTTTCATTTTAAGCTCTTATTGTTAACATCCAAGACAATAGGCCTAATAATATTTGTATTCTTTTTTGAGTCATAATATTGTATTAGTAGGTCTCTGTCAAGGTGTTTAATATCTGTGATCAAGGCGTCAATCTCCCTGATGTTGTAGTTTATTTTTTCTTTAAGCTTATCTCTGAAAGTGTAGGCTTGTTCTTGAAAAACATCTTGGTTCGTGCAGTCACGTCTCAATCTATTGAACTCACTTTTTATAATGATGGGTGATGACACCTGGTGGAGTAAAAAAATATTGGTGTGAACTTTCTTAAAGAAAGTTTTGTTTCCAGCTTATTTTCTTTACTTTATTTTATTTATACATTTTAAAAGATAAGAGATTGGCTATACATTTTCAAGCATTTTTTTTCTAGTAAATGAATAGTTTAGGAGAAAAATCTTTTAAAAAATAGGGTTTTCCCCAATGTCAATCAATTCTTTGGCCAGGGTGTTGGCATCAATGACGAGGCTAGCCCTGCTTGGGAAAGAGTTTCCGAGCAGGGCATATCAAAGAAGGCTGAGAGAGTAGCAGAGTACAGCCTAGAGGTGATTGTTACATAAAGAGTAATACCAATGAGAATAAGGAGATGGCAGTGCATTAACGAGGTACGGTGAATAAATCTCTGTATTTTACACTGAGTATATCACACATCTCTATAATAATATGAATCATCTAATGCTTTTGGGGATGGTTTAGGAAAAATGTAAATATACAGTAGAGTTTCACTTTAACATTCTGACCTATGAAACACAAGGGAACCTGTAAGCAATGTTAGGATTAAAATTAAGGGGCAAACACTAAATTTAGTAACATAAAATTTGGTTCAGAACAGCTATGTTTGTTACTTTCAATGCTTTTGTTTTGATTATCTGATATTTTGTGTAAGAACTGTTTATGTTCCTTTGTAACATACACGAGTGGTAAAGGTTGCATCAATGACACATGATGGAAAGCACAAGCTAATACATGCTGCAGAGACTCAGCTTCAAGTTTAGTAATACACCTAGAACATAAATCAACATTTATGTACAAGCCATTTTAAGTGCATGTACCTTAACTGAACTCTAAAGAAAGAAAAACAAAATCTAAAGTTTTAGTAGGTTATCATTGATGGTATCATCAATACATCTGTTACTAACACTAATAACATGCTTGCTGTCATATTATTACACACATTAATTCAAATATTAGTGTTACTTAGCACAGACAAAACAAGTTATCAAGTTTTTTTTTCAAATAATTAATTAACTTTTGATTTGTTTTGATTATGTCTCAGCAATATAACATGCTCAGAACATGACAAAACAGTTCCAAAGTAGAAAATACTTTCATTAGATGAGTGGTTATATTTAGCAAGACAACATTTATCATAATAATGTAGACTTTTTGAATGATAATATAGACTAAAATGTAATTGATGAGAAGACTAAAAAGCACAAATACTCAGAAACCTGCCTTTCATTGATTCGCTGCTGGGGCCAAATACAAGTTCTAGCTTGCATGACCCATCAAAGAGGGAACCTTTACTATTTGCATATTATCCTGATCCAACCTGCAAGGGCAGTCTAGGACCAAAGGAGCATAAGAGCCTTTAAAAGGAATGAAACAGAACCAGAATCAGTCCATTAACCACAATGCCTAGGTGATACAGCATTTTGGGCCAAATTATACACATTGGACATATTGGCATCACTTCCGTGCACCTCTGTGAAGCCTGCATCCTAACTGACCCAACTGTGGTGTATTTCTGGGATGTAGCAATATATATATGCAATCTCTGGTCCGTGTGTTATAACTGACATAATAAATGACCTAAGCACAATAAGTGACACAACTTCTCGGTCAAGCATCAATAAAGATGCAACCAATGTTGTAGTATTCCTGCACTGAGCAGTTACCTGCCCCAGGACGCCAAGATATAGGTGATGGTAGGCCCTGGTGACCTTTGACAGTTATGTTGCTATGTTAATTTTATTTTCATTTAAAGGGACACTATAGTCACCAAAACCACTTTAGCTTAATGAAACAATTGCTCAATTCTCTGCACTTTAGTAGTAAATCGCTTTTGTTTCTGTTTATGCAGCCCTAGCCACACATCCCCTAGCTGTGACTGACACAGCCTGCATAAAAACAAAATGATTTCATTTTCAATCAGATCTTAACTTACTTTAACATTTTAAAAGTCTCCTGCTCTGTAAGTTTAACTTTAATTACATATACGTGGCTCCTGACAGGTCTAGAAGGCTATTAACAGAGCAGAAGATAAGAATATCTAAATTAAACAGACTTAGCAATGAAGGAAGTGTAAACATTAGATGACTTTTTACAGGAACTGTTTAGGAAGGATGTGTACGTCACATGCAGTGAGGTATGACTAGGCCTGTATAAACTCCTAAATGGCAGAGAATTAAGCAACGAGACAGCAGGGGCATTATCTATACACTAAAACATCTTTATCATGCTAAAGTTGTTTGGTGACTATAGTGTTCCCTTAACCCCTTAAGGACACATGACATGTAGGACATGTCATGATTCCCTTTTATTCCAGAAGTTTGGTCCTTAAGGGGTTAAAGGGACACTATAGGCACCCAGACCACTTCAGCTCATTGAAGTGGTCTGGGAGCAGTGTCCCATGTTGTTTAACCCTGCAATGGTAATTATTGCATTTTTTAATAAACTGAAATAATTACCTTTGAGGGCTAACTCCACCTCTATTGTCTGTCTACCAGACAGCCACTAAATGGACTTCTAGGTGTTTAAACAACTTTTAGTCGCCTGACGCTCGATGTCCTAACGCTACACACGAGGACATCCAGCATCACCCAAAACCTCATAGGAAAGTATTATAATGGCTGAGTCTGAGTAGGGGAGCCTGAACCAGCACCAAGGGGCATCGACACTGGAATCAGGTAAGTGACAAAAGTTTTTTTTTATCTCCTTCTGCACCAGGAGGGGAAGGGGTGCAACTTTGTTTGACTGTCACTATAGCTTCTTCTTTATAGTTAGACATATGGTATAGAAATGGCATCTGGAAGTAGTGTGAGCAGCCATAATATGTACCGTTACACTGAAGTCACTAGTCTTTTTGTCACCTAGCAATGTGTCTGGTGAGGAGGAAAGGGAGCTGTGGTTAACTTCCTGGGATGTGTTTAAGGTTCTGAGTGCCACGCTATAAATAATGTTTGAAAGCACTTTGTCAATTTACGTATGTTGAGTTGCTCCCACTGACTTATTGAACCCCAACATACATAGTGTTTGGAAATAGAAAGACTACGTGTGACACAATTTCACACTTTCATATATATGTAACCCCACAATTTCACTTTTTTTTGTATACCCCTTCACAGTTTCACGTTCTCTCTGTTTGTATTTTTATTCTCTAATGTTATTATATGATGATTTAGCATACTTTTGCAAGTGCCAATTAGTGGACAACCATTTCATTTATTTAATTTAGCCAAAATGACTGCTATATAGCATGCCACATCAAGTATAAACTGGGCAAAATAATGTGCTAAATTATATATATGGCACCAGTGCAAAATTTCTTAAATCACTTTTGTCTTTATAGCCTGAAGCCTTATGTGATTTGCAGTTCAAACTAGGTATGGCTGTAGAAAAGATTTTCAATTATTACCCAAAATATTTATTACTTACAGATGTTTCAAAGTATGCCATCACACAAGTTCAAGCACGACAAGGTCAATTAAAAAGTTTATTGTTCAATATAAAACTAAATGTACTTACTTAATTGTTCATACACATAATTCCAGGTGTCATATTCCTTAATAAATTAAATGGTTTAATGAACACTTAATTTAGCATTCAGTTTGTATAAGTGATAAATATACCTAAGGAGTTCGACTGTAAAAACTAGGAAAAGGCATTAACCAGTTTCTTGGCATATTCACTTTCAGGGTTATTCACCAAACTCTGAATTGTAGCAAACTGAAATGCAAGTGGTACAAATTAGGCTAAAATAGTCAAGCTTTGACTGTAACTGAGTTGGAGAATTCTTCCAAATTAATAATTCTACGTTAAGTCTGCCTTCAGATTTCAATTCACTACAAAATAAAATCCATTACAAACCCCTTTAACAAATGTATTTAAGTAATTTACATGCCTCAAAGAGATATTGGATAGTAAGACTTGCCTAGCAAAATCTGTGCCCTTGCAACATATAAAAATCCCAAAAAACACAACTACATTTATGTCCACATGAGTTTACAATATAAAAGTATTATTATATAGGTGCACAATATTAATTATATGTATTTACCCCATATATCCACAATGCATGTCATCATTTTCTCAATTTAGTGAATAACCCTGATTAAGAGACATTGACATAAACATAACTCTTTTGGGTAGTAATCTTTCATGACACAAAAAACAAGGTAATGTTTTAGGAAGGAAGGAAAATGGGAATAATTGGGGAAAATTATGACATGCATTATGGATATATGAAGTGAATACATCATAGAAAAGGTGTAGTGAATATTAGAGATAGGTTTCTAGATTTCTAAGCATTGGGCTCTTTTTGCTAATAATATATAGGCCATCACATTAACTGGGTAAAAACAAAGATGATGAACTACCAACAGGCGTGGTAGCTAATGAATGAATGAATATATAAATAAAGAAAAATACGACCAGGATTGCGCACTAATAAAATTACTTGTTTGGGTAAACACCAAACTGATAAGATGGCTGTAATGGATTAGTCCAAATATGATAATCATTCCAGCTTAATGTTGTGGTTATGTTTCTTACAGTATTCAAGCATCATCTTTTTCCTTAGTGTCAAACAATTTGTGAGTAGTTTGATATAAACATGGACTCACCTAGTGCCTAGATCCTAGAATTCTTGTTTCAGCTTGGTTAATACAAAAGTGAAATTCCACATTAATCATTGTATTGGGCAGTTGGATGGACAACTGGGGGAATCCATTTCTCCATTAGCTGAATTGGAGCACAAAGGCTGGGATTTAAAAAACAAAAAAGGTTTGATACAAAAACGTGTGGTGGGAGAGAAGGCATGGGGGCTTAAGCTTGAAGACTCTTTGCTCCATGTTGATAGATTACCTATTAATCAAGTAACTGATTAATGTCTCATAAATATGTGCAATAATATATAAATTAATATAGATTATGGATAGGCATAATAGTACCTACAGCTATTCCAGAAGTGATAAACTGACCTTAAACTTGTATAGTCATACATGTTCAGATATTATCATCCAGGGGTGCCCAAAAGGTAGATCCCCAGATGTTGTAGAACTACAAGTCCCACAATGCTTTGCATGCCTTTAGAATGATAAAGCATCATGGAAGCTGTAGTTAAAAAAAACATAATGGGATCTACCTTTTGGGCACCCCGCTATTATATGCAATGAGACTCATAAATCCTCTAGTGTCAACTACTCCTTGTCCGTGCAGGCACTCTCTATTAAACTCTCATATTATTCTGTAGTGGTATGTAATCATACACTATTTACCTAAATTTAATCGTTGTAATATAAACAATTGCATTCTCCATTAACTATGATTAATTATGGTATTGCAGGGAAATAAGCCCTGGAAATTAAATGAAGAGATGTTTTTCTGAGTAAGCTATTTTGTTTTGCCTTTAATAGACATGTTTTGAAAAGCTAACACTGCAAACTGTTATCAGATATAGCTCTTAGATATCCATGACTGTACAAAGATCGCTGTATTTGTGTTTTCAAACAGAGTTACAGGTCAATAACATAGTATTTGCTGAATCTTCAATTTTCTAACCCCACCCAGTAAAGCATTGAGCAATTTCTTTTGAAGCAAAATAAGAATATTATTTTACATTCCTTTAAATGTTGCTTTCTATTTAATTTATTGTTGAAGGCAAATCAATCAAACACATGAAAATATATTAAATGCAAGTCTGAACCAACATAGATCTAATGTGTTACTGAATGGGAATGCATTATCAGGGTTATTCATTAAATAAGAATGCAAAGTGAATTTAACATTTAAAGGGACACTATAGGCACCATAAGCACTTCAATTTCATGTAGTAGTTTCAGGGCTAAGTCTGTTCATGCAGCCTCAGCAGACTGCCTTTTATGAGAAATGAAATGTAAAACATACATTATTTATTTCATATGGGGTTGGGGGAGGGGAGGGCAATAATCTAAATCACTATAACAATAGGTGAACTGAGAAATTTCTGGACTTAAATTTTAAATTCATTTTGAATTCCTAACAATGATCAATTTAGTGAATAACCCTGATTAAGAGACATTGACATAAACATGACTCTTTTGGGTAGTAATCTTTCAGGACACAAGAAAAGAAAGGTAATATTTTAGGAAGGAATTATATATTAGGAAAAATGATGACATGCATTGTGGATATATGCAGTGAATACATCATAGGCAGGGTATAGTGCATATTAGAGATAGGTTTCTATTTTCATATTATAAACTCCCTTCTGTAGCTTACCATATATTTGTTAAAGTAACTCTTCTTGAAGGCCTTTGAAGTGTCTGGAGTCTGTATTTTTTTTCAATTTATAAAGTGCTACTTTCAATCAAAACTGGCACTCAATCAGCCGGAGAAGATTTTTTCTGTTTCCATCAGTTCTGTGGTACTAGGCTACAACATGCTTGCTAATACTTCTCAATGAGCTGTACTACAACTCTTTGATAAGTCTATAATTGTAAAGCTTTACAAAGAGAAGTCTCTAATTGGTCAATTTTCTGGAAAAGCTTGGGTCTTACAAAGATTGCAGACACTATCTCTCCAGTTTTTGCAAGCTGTTTGTTTCATATATCTCAAAGAAAAATGCATAAAAAGCACATGCATGCTTTCTCCAGGGAGTGGAGAGGCTCTATTTATGGTGAGCACTACCTATGTCCCATTTAAGCAAGGTTCTGTTGGTATACTGCACTATTATTGTAATTTAAATTTCTTCCTAAGGTAGAGAGATCCCACTTGAAGAAAGGTGGAAGCTCCCTTGAAAGGCATGTCTGCATATTAAGTGAGTCCTCTTTATTAGGCTCTACTTTATGCAAGTGTACCTATAATTAATCACCTTACTGTACTTTGTACTGTACAATCTGCACTATATATTGTTATTATCTATTTTACATTTAATGTGGATTTAACTTCCTGACAATCACCAGGGCAAGAGGATACCCCTCTTGTATTTAGCGCTCCACTACTTTTTATATGCATTGTACTTTGGTTTATATGTGTTGTATTAGAATTTAAATGTTAAAATCTACCCAGAATAACAGAATGTGCATGTAAACTGTTTTTGTTTCTATATATTTTTTACAATGAGAACATGAAATAATATATAAGCTTAGCAAGTTATCGAAACACATTTTGGATGACAAAGAACTATAACTATACTGCTGCAGTTCAGATAGATAGATAGACCATCAGATGAATTCTCAAGGAAGTGTAGAATTTCACAATATATAGAAATACAAGAGGACAAAAGACAGAGTTTGCAGGAATCTGTAAACTTTCTTTGTCTTAGGGATGAGCATAACCACCTAGCAAAGCTAGTGGGTATGTGGCAGTCTCCCCTGGAATAAAATGC